CTGTCAGCATCACCATCATCATCACTGTCAGCATCACCATCATCATCACTGTCAGCATCACAATTATCATCACTGTCAGCATCACCATCATCATCACTGTCAGCATCACCATCATCACCGTCATCATCACCATCATCATCACTGTCAGCATCACCATCATCATCACTGTCATCATCACCATCATCATCACTGTCAGCATCATCATCATCATCACTGTCATCATCACCATCATCACTGTCAGCATCGCCATCATCATCACCGTCAGCATCACCATCATCATCACCGTCATCATCACCACTGTCAGCATCACTGTCATCATCACCATCATCATCACTGTCAGCATCACCATCATCATCACTGTCATCATCATCACTGTCAGCATCACTGTCATCATCACCATCATCATCACTGTCAGCATCACCATCATCATCACTGTCATCATCATCACTGTCAGCATCACTGTCATCATCACCATCATCATCACTGTCAGCATCACCATCATCATCACTGTCATCATCATCACTGTCAGCATCACTGTCATCATCACCATCATCATCACTGTCAGCATCACCATCATCATCACTGTCATCATCATCACTGTCAGCATCACTGTCATCATCACCATCATCATCACTGTCAGCATCACCATCATCATCACTGTCATCATCATCACTGTCAGCATCACTGTCATCATCACCATCATCATCACTGTCAGCATCACCATCATCATCACTGTCATCATCATCACTGTCAGCATCACTGTCATCATCACCATCATCATCACTGTCAGCATCACCATCATCATCACTGTCATCATCATCACTGTCAGCATCACTGTCATCATCACCATCATCATCACTGTCAGCATCACCATCATCATCACTGTCATCATCATCACTGTCAGCATCACTGTCATCATCACCATCATCATCACTGTCAGCATCACCATCATCATCACTGTCATCATCATCACTGTCAGCATCACTGTCATCATCACCATCATCATCACTGTCAGCATCACCATCATCATCACTGTCATCATCATCACTGTCAGCATCACTGTCATCATCACCATCATCATCACTGTCAGCATCACCATCATCATCACTGTCATCATCATCACTGTCAGCATCACTGTCATCATCACCATCATCATCACTGTCAGCATCACCATCATCATCACTGTCATCATCATCACTGTCAGCATCACTGTCATCATCACCATCATCATCACTGTCAGCATCACCATCATCATCACTGTCATCATCATCACTGTCAGCATCACTGTCATCATCACCATCATCATCACTGTCAGCATCACCATCATCATCACTGTCATCATCATCACTGTCAGCATCACTGTCATCATCACCATCATCATCACTGTCAGCATCACCATCATCATCACTGTCATCATCATCACTGTCAGCATCACTGTCATCATCACCATCATCATCACTGTCAGCATCACCATCATCATCACTGTCATCATCATCACTGTCAGCATCACTGTCATCATCACCATCATCATCACTGTCAGCATCACCATCATCATCACTGTCATCATCATCACTGTCAGCATCACTGTCATCATCACCATCATCATCACTGTCAGCATCACCATCATCATCACTGTCATCATCATCACTGTCAGCATCACTGTCATCATCACCATCATCATCACTGTCAGCATCACCATCATCATCACTGTCATCATCATCACTGTCAGCATCACTGTCATCATCACCATCATCATCACTGTCAGCATCACCATCATCATCACTGTCATCATCATCACTGTCAGCATCACTGTCATCATCACCATCATCATCACTGTCAGCATCACCATCATCATCACTGTCATCATCATCACTGTCAGCATCACTGTCATCATCACCATCATCATCACTGTCAGCATCACCATCATCATCACTGTCATCATCATCACTGTCAGCATCACTGTCATCATCACCATCATCATCACTGTCAGCATCACCATCATCATCACTGTCATCATCATCACTGTCAGCATCACTGTCATCATCACCATCATCATCACTGTCAGCATCACCATCATCATCACTGTCATCATCATCACTGTCAGCATCACTGTCATCATCACCATCATCATCACTGTCAGCATCACCATCATCATCACTGTCATCATCATCACTGTCAGCATCACTGTCATCATCACCATCATCATCACTGTCAGCATCACCATCATCATCACTGTCATCATCATCACTGTCAGCATCACTGTCATCATCACCATCATCATCACTGTCAGCATCACCATCATCATCACTGTCATCATCATCACTGTCAGCATCACTGTCATCACCATCGTCACCGTCAGCATCACCATCATCGTCACCATCAGCATCACCATCATCGTCACCGTCAGCATCACCATCATCATCACTGTCAGCATCACCATCATCATCACTGTCATCATCATCACCATCATCATCAGTGTCATCATCACCATCATCATCACTGTCAGCATCACCATCATCATCACTGTCAGCATCACCATCATCATCACTGTCAGCATCACCATCATCATCACTGTCAGCATCATCACTGTCAGCATCACTGTCATCATCACCATCATCATCACTGTCAGCATCACCATCATCATCACTGTCAGCATCACCATCATCATCACCATCATCATCACTGTCCGCATCACCATCATCATCACCATCATCATCACTGTCAGCATCATCACCACCACCACCACCACCACTACCATTACCACCATCACCATCACCATCTTCGTGATCATCATCACATCTGGTAGCCCCAAGAGACAGAAGAGGAGATAAACAGTAAGTGTGGGTTCCACTGGCAAAGGAATAAGAAATAGAACTGGAAAGAATGAGTGAGACAGGGAAGGAGAAGAAGGGAGAGAAGGAAGAACTTACAGATAAAATTACAGAGTCCTTGAATTGGAAGGGATCTTGGAGGTCAAAAATCTACAGCTTTATTTTACAGACAGAGAAAATGAGGCTCAGAAAGAGGAAATGACCTGTTCAGGATCACACAGGGGGTCCATGTTGGAGCCAATGGGAGACACAGTTCTCTCTTCTCACTCAATCTCACTTCCTCTACTACAAGAAAAAAGCCTCCAAAGGTCATCAGTGATGGGGGGGTGAAGATGGAGTCATTAGAATTCACCCCCCACCCCCTGGGGACACTCCTTCTATTGCCCAGCCAAGAACTCTAAGCCTGGCCAAGTTCACCAGCTCTGCCCTCTGCCCTCTGCTCTGCACGGTTCTCTTCTTGCTGCAGGACATATGGAATGGACTGGCTGGGTGCATTAGGGGAGGGCTTCGGGGCCCAGTGAGGGGAGGCCTGGCTTACCTTGGACCTGCGTCTGATACACGATGAAGTAACTGGGAGTCCCGCAGCTCTCAAACTCCTCCGCACTGCACTTCTGGGCGCAGAGCTGCTCATCCTCTCTCTCATGGAGTGGGAATCGGGTGGTGGGAAATCCACAGTGGCAGGCGGTGCCCGCGAGAGCTGCCAGTGGGTACTCCTGGGGACAGAGTGGAAGAGGATAAGAGAGCTGCTAAATCTCTGACAGTCCCGGACTCTGAATGTGGAGCAGGATTTGCATCCCAACTCCATCCCTCCATCACTCTCCCTCAACCCGAGTCCCCAGACTCCATCAGTGAACCCTGCTTTTATGACTTCAACCCATCTGTGAACTTCCTGTACTCTTATTTATGTGTTTTTTCCCTTTATGTCAACTCACTTATTGAAACTTAAATTTGAAAGGAAACTTTATATCACCACCACAAGTAGTACTTGTGGANCATCACCATCATCATCACTGTCAGCATCACCATCATCATCACTGTCAGCATCACCACCATCATCACTGTCATCATCACCGTCATCATCACTGTCAGCATCACCGTCATCATCACTGTCAGCATCACCATCATCATCACTGTCAGCATCACCATCATCATCACCATCATCATCACTGTCAGCATCACCACCACCACCACCACTACCATTACCACCATCACCATCACCATCACCATCTTCGTGATCATCATCACATCTGGTAGCCCCAAGAGACAGAAGAGGAGATAAACAGTAAGTGTGGGTTCCACTGGCAAAGGAATAAGAAATAGAACTGGAAAGAATGAGTGAGACATGGAAGGAGAAGAAGGGAGAGAAGGAAGAACTTACAGATAAAATTACAGAGTCTTTGAATTGGGAGGGATCTCGGAGGTCAAAAATCTACAGCTTTATTTTACAGACAGAGAAAATGAGGCTCAGAAAGAGGAAATGACCTGCTCAGGATCACACAGGGGGTCCATGTTGGAGCCAATGGGAGACACAGTTCTCTCTTCTCACTCAATCTCACTTCCTCTACTACAAGAAAAAAGCCTCCAAAGGTCGTCAGTGATGGGGGAGTGAAGATGGAGTCATCAGAATTCACCCCCCCACCCCCTGGGGACACTCCTTCTATTGCCCAGCCAGGAACTCTAAGCCTGGCCAAGTTCACCAGCTCTGCCCTCTGCCCTCTGCTCTGCACGGTTCT